GCTAAAGTATAGGTATCCTCCTATTAGAGGCAATCCTATTCAAAACACTGTTGGGTACTAAATGTGGACACCTCTCCTAGCAGGGACTCAAACTTTGGTTCGTCACATTATGAGGGACTAATCCCTTCTGCTAGACTCAATCATCATTGGTTGGATTGTTTCTTTCTGAACAAGCCGAGGTAATTAACTCTTTAGAAGCCCCAACAGTTAAGTGTATGTTTGGACCTCCGTTTTGACATCCAAACATGCCTTGGAAAATGTAATAAGTCAGTTGGCAGGGTTCTGAGGGTAAACTGATTGTTTGGATAGGTAGCTTTTCAACCTGACTTCTGAAAAAAAGCTCCTTATTTCTCAACGCTCCCAGAAGCAACTTTTTCACTGTTTCAAAATGCATTATACCGTTAAATTAATGAATTTAATTTCTCTCACCGATCCTACCGGACCCAGCTACCTCTCTTCAAAGCTTCACCTATCTCTACCGACCTAGCTGCCTCTCTTCAAAGCTTCACCATTCCAACCTCAGCTCTACCGGACCCAAGGCAAAACACTCTGATCCCTCACTCTTGGCACTCGCCTGTCTCTACCCGACGGAGCTGAGAAGTAACTTCTGAGAAGGGCATGCATAGCATTCGGCCATGTTTCAACTCCCTCACTCTCTCTTCGTTGCTCTTGCCGGCGTCTCCATCTGTCGGTCTCTCTGGCGCCTCTGTCTGTGGGTGTTGATGGCTCTGCTCCCCCTCCATCAAAACAGATCTGGGTGTGGCTGCATCTCCATCCGTCGCTCTCTCTGCCGTCTCTGTCTATGGGTGTTGATGGCTTTGCTCCCTCCATCGCTGAAGGTTGTTCGTGCCATCGCTGGTGTGTTTTTCTTCTCTTCTCTGTTCGACTCTCAACTCCCTCCACCGTTGAAGGCTTCATTTTTTTTCTTCCTTCTCTGATTGTAGATGTTGTTTGACAGACAATAATATGTGCACTCCCTTAAGCTATTACTCCTTCTTCGTGCTGAATCGGTTTGTGTGTGCATATGTGTGAATGTGAACTGAATGGCTGTAATTAATGGTGTATGGTGTTGGTTTATGGTGCAAGATTTATGGACGTGTGAATGCTGTTTTGACCGAAGCATATGGGTTTTTTTGCTCCTCTTTTTGTTGATCGGAGAATTTTATTTTGTTGACCGAAGCATATCAGAGTTAATGAATGAATGAATTAAAATGATGGGAAGATGGGGACGAATGAATGCGTGAAGCAAGGGGGAAAAGAAATTATATATTTGTTGAAATTGCCTTGGTTGTCTGCATTGAACAATAGTTTGGCCTTAATTTTGTTAGATATTATGTTATATTGCGTGGTTGGAATTTTTGAGTTAAAGGAAAAGAGTATTTTTGGTGCTATGGGCTTCACATATCATGATTGAGAATGGGTGGTGTAATTGTGTGACCCGAGGAGGGGCTCGCGTCTGATTAGCTAGTTGGTGAGGCAATAGCTTACCAAGGCGATGATCAGTAGCTGGTCCGAGAGGATGATCAGCCACACTGGGACCGAGACACGGCCCAGACTCCTACGGGAGGCAGCAGTGGGGAATTTTCCGCAATGGGCGAAAGCTTGACGGAGCAATGCCGCGTGGAGGTAGAAGGCCTACGGGTCGTTAACTTCTTTTCCCGGAGAAGAAGGAATGACAGTATCTGGGGAATAAGCATCGACTAACTCTGTGCCAGCAGCCGTGGTAAGACAGAGGATGCTACCCGTAATAACGAACTTGCAAAATGAATCTGTTTATCATAAAGGGATTCGTTGTTCCTCCAAATATCGATAAGTTTCTATTTTTCTGCATGTTTGTAACGTAAAGCATAGGTCCGCATAGTTTGTGCAACAATGGCTATCCATAATTTTATCAGGCAAAATTCTCCAACTGATGACCACTTTATACAAGCTGAGCGTGGAAGTATAATAGATGAAGACAATAATCATTCAGCTGGTGAAGCATCCTCGTCAAGTTTAACATCTACCGCACAAATGAATCGTGTTCGTGACTCAATTAGAGACCAAATTGTGTAAAGTTTACGATCTAATTAGTTATGTGATTTTATTTACTTTAATTAGAAACCAAATGAATTTTAATTTAATTTATATTCACGTTTGTCCATTATATATATTTAATTAAGTACGATCTAATTACTTTTATAATTTCATTTAGTCTAATTAGAGACGAAATGAATTTTAATTTATGTTCATGTTTGTCTATTATATATATTTAATTAATTATCTACAATGTGTTTTCAAATTTTTCTCGGTAGCAAATATTTTTATTTTATAATCTCACAAAAAACTTTTTTTATTTTATCATAATAATTTTAGATATTTTTTAATAATTATCGCATTAAAAATATCAAACAGTACTATTCAATAAAATATATGCCCTTTTCAGTCATTTTACAACTGAACTAACTTTTTTATTCATCCAAACAACTTTTAACTTTTCTAACTGACTTTTTAAAAGCACATATCCAAACATACTATAACTGACTTTTACTCTAACTTCAATTACAAAAGTCAGTTGGACTAGAAGTCAATTTTACCCAACGTCAATCCAAACATACCCTAAATCTTTCGAAGTTGGGTCCAAACCACATGAGGAGGCCTAAACTTGAAGCCTGATATGCCTCTAAGAAGAATAAGAGGAATTTACGAATGACGTGACCAAACCATCAAATTGAGAACTATCCTCGCCTTGGACTGGAGCAATGTCCAGAGGCGTAATCGAACCAGCTATTCAAATAATGATTTATTAGTAATCTACCCTATTTTATATAAAATTAAAGAGGTAATACATGAATTGATTTTGGTCATACATATAAAATTTCAATCCATTTTGTTTCATAAATTTATATCTTTTTTTAAAAAAATTTCTTGTTAATTTTTCATATCAAGGGAGTTTTCTATTACAAACTATAAGAGATGAAAAGAAGTAGAAGAAAATAAATATATATTTTTTTTCATAAATTAATAAATTAATTATTTTTTAATTTTTATAAATTAGAATTTTTTTTGGATAAAAACTAAAATGATACAGTAAGAAAAGGCCGGAAATTAATTATCTTCTCGATACATTTTACATTTAAGACAAGAAGGAGTACATCAAAATAAGAGCTTTGTTTGGTTCAATGAAAGGGAAGGGATGAGAGGTTAATCAAGGGGAGGGGATGGGAGGTGAGAGGAGGTTACAAGTGCTCTTTGGCTTAAGGGGAAAGAGGGGAGGGGGGAATGTTTCATATTTGGTTTGGGAGGAAAGGGGAGTAGAACTAATCATAAGTTAATAAATATACCCTTATCTTTTTAGTTAGATTTTTTTATTATTTTATTGCAATATTTATATTAGAATTATTATTTTCCAATTTATGAATATAAAAAAACAAATTACCCCACATATATAAAATATTTACATATCCATAAAATATAAACATATCATACAAAACATTTTATTATCATTATCAAATATACATATCATGAAGAATATATACTTGTCATATTATGGATGAAGGCATAATAAATGAAGACGTCGGAAGATGTAAAAGCAGTTGGCAATACCAATAGCGGACTGGTGGAAGAGTAGACGCGAAGCAAGCAATTGGAGAAGAATAGCAATTGAAAAGAAATAGAAGTAAAAAAAGGTAAATTTGGTATATGTAAAAGGTAATATAAGTAATTTAGTCAGAATGAGACACAATATTTCTCTTCCTTCCAAAAAATCTAAATTTAGAGAGGAGCAGAATGAGAGGAAGGGAGCATTAAAAGACAATTTTTGTCCCCCCGTTCTTTTCTGTTTTTCCGAACCAAACACAATTTTTCATTTTCTCCACTCTCTTCCCTTTGAAAACTTTCAAATCATACAATACCTTGGATTGGATAAAAAGAATAAGGGGGTGTTTGGGTTCCAATCCAAACCATGGTTTGGGGACCCAAACCATGGTTTGGGAAAAGGTCTCCCAAACACCCTTAAAAAAACCAAAACCATGGTTTTGAGTTAAAACTATGGTTTTGACTCCAAAACCATGATTTTGGGAAAAGCAAAAATTTTTTGCTTTTGAAAAAAAAAAGGGGAGAGTATGAGAGCTTATAAGATATGTATCTTGTTGTTTTTTTTATAAACATATTTTTTATAAATATATTTAATCTTATATCTTATAAATATATATACATATTAATTATTTATTAATTATATTATCTTATGTATTATTAATTATGTTAATAAAAAATATATTATTAAAATTTTAGTTCTTCAAATTAAAATATATCATAAAATATATTTTTTCTGTAATTATCATATTAACTTATGCCTTTTGTAGTAATTTATACATGTAAAAAGTGCTTCTCGTAACAACTATCCAAACACTCTCACTTCTCAGAATCACTTTTTCACAAAATCTATTCTTCAAAAAATCTATTCTCCCTAGAATCTATTCTCCGGAAGCTATTCTCCAAATCATGGTTTGGTTATATCCAAACACCCCCTAAGTGCTCCGATGCTCATATGGCAAATGTATTTTCCTATTATATATTGACATAAAAAATAGGAAGGATGCTAAAAACAAAAATTAAAAATTATGAAATTTTAAATTATAATACTGACTTTACAAATGACAATAAATTTTTGTTAGATATTTTTTATTTAGTATTTATAAATTTTTAACTTTTTTTTTGTTATTTTTCTTAAAAAATGTTTTTTTAGACTTGCAAAATCAAGCTTCCCTTTCTTTCGCTTCATTTCATATTTTTCCCAAGATAAATTAGAGAAAAATCCAACTTCTGGACAGTAAAAATTCGGCAAAATCAGCTTCTGATTATACGAGCGAATTGGGAAGCATTGACGGAGGATGGAAATGATGTTCACTCCTTCGACTTCAAGCAACAATTCTGTGAGGCCAAAATCTCTTTCTGGAAATCCATAGTATCTTCCCTGACCTGGTTTCTTTTCTACTATTTATTTATTTGATTATTTGAATTATCTATTGGTGATGCTTTTTTGTTTCCTGGGAGAATAAAAACTTTTGGTTCAAGTGATTACTCACCTACTCTTTAAGTTTGGCCACTGTCTGTCTCCGGCGAACAGGAACCCCAGTATTGTTGCTTTCGAAGCCCATCTTTGGTTTTCCGTAAATTAAGACGAGACTCATATCTTTTACTTTCGTTTGTGATCCTTTGTATTCCTAATTTATAGCTCTGAATTTGAGGGATATTTAGCTAATTTTATAATTTTATTTGACATATTGGAAACATTAACATGCATGTATTATTGATATTAATGAAGGCTTTCGGTGTAGTTGCAGATCCAAAGATTACTGTAAGAGTAGTTCCTGGGTTCTGCTTTCCTTCTTCTGGGTGAGAAATTATCACTTGGCTCTAAAAAAATGGTGGAAGGTGTGTCACTTAGCACTCTGATAACATGTGGAAAGAGCATGCTCAGTGGACCATTCGCTTCTTGGAGGGCAGGTTTGAAACCATATAAGAAGTTTCAAATCACATCTATGTATGAGAGACATTGGGCCTGGAATCATAGTGTGAAGAGGTTGTTCTCAGATCCCTCTACATCAAGGCATAGTGATTTTAGGGTGGAAGCAGGGTGGATGTTTAGTGGTGGTGAGCAAGATTTGGGTGCACGTGTAGAGCGTAGTGAAAGTGCTAATGAAAATATTTTAATCTTCTTTTTCCAGCTAGATCTAGCCACTCGAGTACAGGTATAGGGAATTTTAGTTTTTACTCTTTTACAAACATTTTGAAGTATTATCTTCTGCTCTGGCAAATATGTGCTAAAATCTTATTCCTTCACATTTTGAGCTCATGAATGGCAGTATGCTTTAAATATAGAGCAGTATGACATTGCACAGGAACTGAGAAACAAACTTACAGAGGTTAGATAGCCCATCTTCTAACCACTTTTGTATCTAAATTTTGGTGAAAGCAACTATGCACTTGCATGTGTTGCTATATTGCCTCTTCAGGTTATTTAAGATTTAAGTGGACCATTAAACAACTTGCAGCGTGCTTGATGAATGTTATTTTTGGAAGGTTGAGGCAGAAATCGTTAGGCAGCAAGATGCTAAAAGGGGATTGTCTTCAAAAAGTGAAGCTCAAGATGCAGCTCTGCGAATAATATCTCTTCAGTGAGTATATTGCATCTTGTTGACCTTCTAACTACATGGTCTCCATGATTAATTGACCTCTTTTGTTAATGTAATGTGCAAGTGCGCAAGTCAACTAGATTGATGAGGGTGACTGATATTTTTCATTCCAGGTCAGATCTTCAGGATGCTATCAAGAGTGAAGATTATGCCTTGGCAGCTGAATTACGCGATGAAATTTCGAAACTTGAAGCACAATCTCTGGAGGCATCAGCTAAAGCTTTGGCATATGAAAATGTGCAATATTCATTCCGTTTGGGCCAGAAAGTGAAGCATAGAGTATTTGGTATATAGTTGTCCCACTTCCCATGGTATATGACAGATTTCATTGGGATCTGCACCAATGCATCGTGGTTTTCAGTTATATTAGTAGGCTGTACTCTGAAGAGTTTATCTAATATAACTGTAGAAGTGATGATTCTGTTGGGAATTTGATATTTCCGGATTGCTAAAAGTCTTCAAGCACTTGGATTTTAAGTGTTAAAACCCAATCTATGGGTAACCCATAAGTATGTAGTCACAGGTGCAGCTATCAGTATTTCACCCCTTTTAGCTATTTAATTTGTTGATATATTTTTCAGGCTATCGAGCTGTGGTATGTGGAATGGATCCAGTATGCTGTGAATCAAGTTCTTGGATGGAGACTGCACAGGTTAAGAAATTGTCTCGTGGTTCTACTCAGCCATTTTATCAGGTTTGATTTCTTGTACCACTGGGATTGCTGCAAATATTTCTACTTTCTGTTAGGAAAGGGAGCTTCTTTAAATTGCTTTTCTTTCTATTAAAAAGCCATTTTTTTATTACAAGATGGTTTTCTAACGACTTGCATGTATGTGATAAGATGATTGTAGATGTCTAGTTCATGGATTTAGTGCTGGCTCGCATTGACTCGTTTAAGGGGAAAATGCAAGTACTTCCCTACAACTTTGAGCCATTTGCTGATACCTTCCTCAACTTTGAAAACTGTCAAATACATCTACTGTATCATCCTTCAAGATTGGAAACGTTCGATCTATTTTTCCGTTACCCAAATACTACCTCCGGTCCTTTATATATATATATATATATATATATATATATATAACCTGGTTTGACTTTTATTTTGATCCTAAATATAAGACCGCTATCTACTTTATTTCTCATATTTATGTATTTTTTTTTTGAAAGTAGTTCTTCTAATAATGGTAGTTCTAACTAATATATTTGATTAGTAAGGATATTTTAGAAAAGACGATACTTATTTATCACAAATAACTAATTAAATTGATTTTTTTAATCTACTTAAATTAGTCAACTAGCTCTTATATTTAGGATCGGAGGTAGTAACATATATTCCACTTAGTTTTGTCACTTGTTTGTTTCTAAAAGAATGTAAGCATGCCATGTGACACATGATGTAGTTTGAAGTGACTTCTCCATTAACGGGCGCTCAGTAGAAAAACAAGCAGAGGGTTATTTTCCAATTTTCAATGCTCAGAGGGATAGTGGCATTCCCCTCTTTCTCTAATATTTAAATTTGTGTTTCTTAAGAGTTGTTTTGGTCTTCCGCCAATTCTTTTATTTTGTCATTGTCCAGGTTCTAGTTGACGTCCGTGCTGACGTCCGTGCTGATCCAAACATACTGGTGGCATATGGTACATCAGCTACTTTATCCCCTTAGGATGCATACAAGTTTTTTTCTTTTGTTTTTTTTTTCCTTGTAATGTTAATGTTGATGTTTTCCTATAGTCTTTCATTTCCTTTCTTCACACTAACAAATAATTATTTTCTTTTTCTTATCTGCACATTTGACTGACCATTGTAATGAATTTCATGATCTTTTCTGCAGTTGCAGAGGAGAATCTATTAGCCCCTGATCAGCCAGACAAAGTTAGTTGATTTATACCTTAACATACAATAAGAATTCCATTAATTTCATCACTTAAATTATTCTCTTAACTCTGTCCAGGGCAGTTTTGATCATCCCTATATCTCCTTTTTGTTCTATGGGATGGATACAGCTGGGGATTTCATCCCAATCAAGCAACTCCGTGAAAAGTACAATAGACCACGACATGAAGTACCTCTGGATGATGAGGATGGAAATGGAGTGTAAATCATCAAATATATATATGTAAATTGTAGGAATCTGTATTATTCATTAATCATGAATACGAATGCATAGGATCCACCCTAGTTTCTAAGTAAAAACCTTTGTTCTGGGTCTCTTTTTCAAGATCATTTGATCGGATTTGGAGGACTGAGGCAAGAAGCATCTATTTGGGTTCTTGTGCAAGGATGGTTACTAGTAGACAAGATCATTCACATAAATTTCGTGTGATCTTCATTTTTCTTACCATGGGCATGGTAGTACTGCGAATGGAGTTAGAAGATTGCACATAATCGCCACTGATCATTGGTCAACGGATTGGTGTGATCCTTACTATGTTTAGCAGTAATTTCATCGACTTCTTGGAAAACTTAGGGGAAAATAAAGGATTAATACTGTTGTTGGTATTTAGCATGTGATCGGATTTTGGTTTTAGTTACTATAGCTTCAAATGGTGGGTTTTGGCCTTTATAATTTCATAAAAATTTAAAAGTTAATACCAAGTTAACACTGAATGAGGATCAAAATTAAAACTCGTTAAAAATGCATGAATCAAAACTAAAATTTGCGTGGTCCTTGTATAAATCTTGGTTTTTGTATGTACTTTTAACGAGTTTTGATTTTGGTCATTATATTTAATGGTGTTAGTTTAGATGAACATGAAGATGACGATCACAAGGTAGTTGGTATGATAGATGATGAAGACAAGATGATAAGGAAGATGACAACACAGATGAGCACTTCAAGCATGTTATTTATATGGAAGCTAGATACTAATTAATATAAATTAAAAAAATAGTTATTGGTTTATCTAAAATATATTTTTTAATTATTTGCATTGAAAACTATTTTCTTAATACATGCATTTAGGTAAAAGCTAAAAATTTGGGTGATAAAGTAAACTGGGGTCTTTCATTTAAAATTAAAAGTAACCTTTCTGTTAGATCTTATTTTAGAATAAGTGCAGGTAATTAAAAAGACTGGGAGGAGTTGTTCCAGCTTAACCAAAAGTCATGGGTTCAATCCTTTAGGAATGCAACAGTATAGGTGGTAAGGTTGCCATAAATATAGGTCCTATCATGGCCCGATCCGAATTAGTTTGGTTTGTAATTCTTTAAGGGGTTGGCTAGAATACCGGGTGCATATAAGGAAAAAAAAGGACTATCTGGTGCATCGAAATAGTCTCACGGTAATTACTAATCCAAAGAGATAATAAGGTGTGATTTAAAGATGTTTGAAAACACCAAATAAGAAAAATCAAAAAATTGAGAACTTTGTGTTCGTTATAAATAAATAAGAAGTGCGAAATATAAATTTTATAATATTCTTCATATTTCACAAATAACACGTGTAATTCATTAAACTCCTGTAATATTGGAGCTTTGATCTCACATCTACACCACGTAACAGTATGATATACACAAATGATTTAATTAATTAAGAATATTACTTGCAAAGCTTTAGATTGAAAGCACAAGAGAGTTCAAAACAATACAAGCAAAACACAGGAACTTGTTACTTTGACCATAGTCCCCATAGCACTTTTGAAAGGCATTATGAATGAAGGTAACTCGTTTTCTTTGTTGTTACTTGTTGATGTTGTTGGTTTTTAGTTATTAATGATAGTCTCAGTATTTATTCCAAACAGAAACATGAGAACACCGTAAGAATCCCAGTAGTAACATGCCCACAACTCTCATATTCACTCTGGATTACAAATTACAAGGACAAAATATCATCCACTTTCTTCAAATGCAATTTTGTTACCCAACTCTAGATTTCTATTTAAACACAGTGCTCTCAAAACTCCGTGTTTAACTCATGAAAGTTCACATGTCTTGAAGTAAAAAAAAAAAACAAAGAAAGAAAAAAGAAAAAAAGAAAAAAGCATCCCAACTGATGCAGTAGAAAGGAAAGTCTCGTATTGCCTGAGATTGAGGAAGTCTCGGGAAGTCTCATAATTTTGGGGTCAACTTGCACATCCCAACAGCAAAAAGCCAGTTTTTGCTTTTTAATGATGTTTGGATTGACATTTTTTGTGTGACTAAGCGCGCGTTTGGATCTCGGATCAAACTTCTATACGCACCTGGAAAAAGGGGAAACATGGCTTTTTGGGTGGTAAGCTAATACCCATCTTTTTGGCATAACATTTTTCCAAATGAACTTTTGGTCACATCGTGCATTGCGAAGAAAGTTGAACTTTGGTGAGTTAGGAAAAAAGTTCATTTATGCTGCGGAGGGAGAAAAACATGCAATAATAAAAAGATAAAATAAGACCTACCTTGCATTATTTAAAAGAGAAGATAAAATTTTAGTAAAACAAACTTAGAGTATGTTTAGATTGGCATTAGGTAAAACTGACTTCTAACCTAACTGACTTTTGTAACTGAAGTTAGAGTAAAAGTAAGTTAGTGTAATGTAATTTATGTTTGGATAGGTACTTTTAAAAAGTTAGTTGAAAAAGTTAAAAGTTGTTTGGATGATTAATAGAAAAGTTAGTTTAGTTGTTGAAAAGAGCATGGTGTAGTGTTTGAAATTTTATATTTTTAATGTGATAATAGTTTAAAAAAACATGTAAAATTATTATGATAAAATATAAATAGTTTATTTGTGAAATTATAGAATAAAAATATTTGTTACGGAGAAAAATTTGAAAATACATTATAGATAATTAATTAAATATACATAATGGACAAATATGAATATAAATTAAAATTTATTTGGTCTCTAATTAAAGTAAATAAAATCACATAACTAATTAGATCGTAAGCTTTGCACAATTTTCCTATAAGTTAGTTAGAAAAGTTGATCTAGATTGCGTTGGATAAGTCAGTTAGAAAAGTTACTTTTTTCCATAAGTCAGCTAGAAAAGAAACTCCATCCAAACAATCTTCTGAGCTACAATAAATCACAAACCTTAGTTTCATGTTTTTCCGTGTGTTTTTATCATTTGCAACAGCAATCCAAACGAGCCCTTAACTTGTTGGGTTTAATGAGCTTTTGGGGTAAAGCAACTTTTTGTTGCTTTCACATGTGTGTTTGTATTAGTAGTGACAAAATGACTTTTGTTTTATTTGACTCAAACGTAAGTTGGGATAAAAATCTATTAGAATAACGTGATTTATATTTAAAAGTCAGTTTAACAAATTAAAACTTATTTAGATAAGAAAATAAAAAAATAAGAGAAATATTAAAATCAAAATTATAGAATAAAAAATAATTAATGTGTTATTAAAAAATTTGAAAAATAAGAAAAATTTGGAGAAGTTCCTCCATTAAAATTTTAATTTGTAAAAAGGATTTAAATTAAAGGTGTGTATAAAAATTTAATTTGCAAAGTGCCCCTACTCTGTGTGTATAAAAATTTATCAAATCTTTCTTAACAATTAAATTTTTAATGAAGATTTTTTCTAATTTTTTTTCAAATTTATAAACATATATAATTATTGAGTATTTTTGAAGTAATTTTATATTTTTATTAAAGTAAAGTAACACTCGTTTTAAAACAATTATCTTGTCTCATGATCATCATTTTTCTCTCTTCACGTGGCTTTTGTTTAAAAGTTACAAATTTTTGCTTTTACTTCAATGTAGCTTTTTCTCAAAAACTCATTTACTCTAAAATTAATCCAAATAATATCTTACCTTTAAATAAACTACCAACTCACATCTTCCTCTTCTCAAGGCACATCCCCCCCGGAGGATAGTTTGAGGAGGCACGGTGCGGTAAATAAAAGCTGTAAACAAGAACTAAATGCATTTTAAAATTTTCACCCACCCATTATTTGCCTCTCCTTCTATACGCTTTATCTTCTCCTTCGGTGGCCGAAGAAACAAGCACAGCGTCTCTTAGAATTATATGAATTTATGAGATTTAAATTTAGTTCAAAAATTCATGAGTACTAAATCTCACATTGCTTAGTACTTGTGTGTGTCAAAAGAAAAATCTCACATTGCTTAAGATTAAGGACGCTTTAGTGTCCGTTTGGTATGAAGAAAAAAGAAAGAAAGAGAGGGAGGGAAAAATTTTAACAAGATCAATTTGAAAAATTAAAAAAATAGGGTTAAAAACTTTTAATTAATTTTTATTACTTTTTTTATATTACTTCTTCTCTTTATTAAAATTTCAAAACACCACTTCTTCAATTTTTTAAATAGAGCTTATTAAAAATTTTCTTCCCCTTCTGTCTATTTCCATCAAACAGTATCTTAATGAAAAGATCAAGAGGAGGAATGGGTTCGCAGATTCGACAACAGGCTGTAGTTGAAATTTAGCAATTTTCCCTTTACGTGCTACTTGAACACATTATTGGGTGTTTTTACCTTTTCTTTTGCATTTTTATTGTTCTATCCCTGTAGTGTATTTTATAGGATGAATCCGTTTAATCTTAAAGAGTTGCTACATTTTACCTGCAGTGGAATAACTCTTAAACACAATATCATGACCTTTAAGGACAATATCGTTGAGTATGACTGTAACTGGACTTTCTACTGTGCTACCAACACTTTATATTCAATCAAAGTTTCAGTTGCAATGATTGATCAGCTAAAGCAATGATTAATGTTACTAGGGGAGACCTGCCACCAGATTTGATGGATACTGTTGGTGTTCAATTTAACAATGCACCAATGAACTATGAATATAGATAAATGACTAATTTCTTGTCTAGAACATAACCAAAGTGAGAGATACAACCAAAAGGACAGCACAAACCAGTGAACCTCCCGAAAAAGATCTATATCAGAAAGAAGAAAACCAGATCCATGAGGTCCTTCTTTCTCAATTACATATAGGGAGAGTTTGAACATCTAACAGAAGTATGAAAGACAAATTTGGGCTTGCAGTTTCTTTACCAAGGGTGAATTATAATAGTACAAGGCAAAGTTGTGTGTGAGAAAATTTCCATCACTTTTACTTTTCTGCAGCCTTCTGCTTCAACATGGCTATGAATTTGTCCCTCTCATCTGGAGACATTCCTTCTGCTGAACAATCCCCTACTCCCCATTCCGCGCCGCGTATACAGTACTTGTCTTGAATCTCTCGTCGGTTCCTTCAGATCATATTAATGTAATTAAATTAGCATTTGAACAAAAAACCGTCTTTTGAAATAGCACTTTCACAGAAATAGCAAAGAGATTACTTTTCTTTGTTCAACTTGGATTGCTCTAGCAGCTTTTTCAGCAAGGGAGAAGACTTGAATCTTTCATCGAACTCAGCATATTTCTTCTGGTTTTCTTCTGTAAGTTAAGAAAATTGCAGACTCAACTTTAATTTCTTGTGATTAAGCTTCACAGAATCACAGCATGGCTCACAATGTCACACCATAATACAGCTAGTTTCAAACCGTTTAGACGATTCAGAAAGTCGATTTGAGGAAGCTGAGGGCCAGGAACAGATTCTATTCCTGAGAATCCTGACATTAGCCCTGCATATGCTGTCATAAGAACAAATGCTTCAGCCATTAATGAGGTTTTGTTTATCGCAGCAAGAAAATGAAATGCATACTACTGCAAAAAAAAAAAAAAAAAAAAGGAAACTCTTAAACAGACACATGAGTAATATGAACATTTAAGAAAACTAAGGCCAGAAGGTTGTGAGGTTGAAAAGTTCAGTATTCATATAGACTCTATATTGGAGCCAAATATTTACATTTTACAATTTTGTCATAAAACCCCGAAAGTTTCTGCTATCATGCATCTCATACCGTCCGGGAGAGGAAGTTAGAGGGTGAAATTAAAGACAGTGAAAGCCTATGAGATATGAACTGTTAAGGGAATTATAACCCGAAAACTAATTCACAACGTTGGAGAGCAGAATGTAGAAGCAAGTCGCATGTTAGAATAGCATCATAATGAACAAACCCAATTGCAAAGTACGAGACTTGAGGCTCATTTTGGAACTTGGAATTATGAAATTTCCAAAGTGGAAGTTAAATTAATTATCCTGGGGTCGCTATGATTCCCTGAATGGTTATATCAGAGACCCACGTTTCAATTAAATCTATATCTGGCATAAGTTTTTGTAGCTATCAATGAAATGTAAAGAAACATGTGCAGAGACAGAGAAAGAAGACGAGAAGTTACCAGGGGTCGACCAGAGGAGGATAGCAATTGAAGCAGCTAAAGGAAGAGACTTCCGAAGAATTCCATGAGAAGGCGAAGAAGAAGAAGACGAAGAAGACCAAGAACAACCAATGGGTCTTGTGGGCATTCTGATAAGAAATCTGTGATGAGGGATGGAGGGTTTTGGAGAAATGGAGAAGTTAGTGGAGGATGAAATCTGAAAGGAAGAAGATAGCGAGGAAGAACCCATGATTGGCCTCCCTTCTTCTTCTTCTCCTCCTCCTCCTCCCTTCTTCCAAAACCTCTTTTATGAAGCGAATGAAAAACTCGAGAGAGAAAAAGGAGATAAGAAAGAGCACAGACAGACACGGCTCATACTTTGCCACCGAAATATGGAATCATGTCAACTATGAATTGGAAAGTCTAATGTCACCATGTCTCCATCCAGGCTTCCACCATGAGTCCATGACTCGTCTAATTCAGCCTATTTTAAATTTATAGTGTGCATTAATATCGATTATCTGGTACACATTAAAAAATTTATTTTGGTGATATAATTATCAATTGATAACTGAGTTTTTAAATGTATTACACTGTTACACACTTAGAGAGTGTTTAGTTTAACTTTTCAGAGGTGATTTTACAGTGTTAAGATAAACATATGAGAATAATTTTGTCTCTAGTGAAAATAGTTTTCTAAATTCTTTCAGAATATTTCAGACGCTTCCCTTTAGGTAAAAGTAAAAATATGTCTCACATCGTATAAATTATCGAAATGCCGAAGTTGAATTTTGAAAGTATTAGTAATTAGTTACATATATTTTTTTAATTATACGTTATCGTTAAATTTTACATTCAGCACTTTACTAGCGGCATATTTCGAAGCTGTCAACAATACATTATAGTTAAATGAGGAAGTCTTTCTAATATGTCAATAAGAGTTGATCTAATTAGTAAAGAATTAATTTATAACCCACAACTTCGTAAGAAGTGAAGATCTTATCAATGGCCTCTCATTATCAGTTTCTCACGGCAATTGGAATTGATACATGTTATGGCGCCAAAAAAAAATCGTTGCTCTACTCTTAATTAAAAAAATCACTATTTTAATCACAATTTAAACATAACCCTACCTTATGTTAAAAACTTGATTTCATATTTGGTTTTGCACTTTTTTCTTAATTCATTATTTTTAATTAATAGAATACTAATGTAAAATAGATTAATATTAGAAAAATCCCAAAACAATATCTCTTGAATTTCAAATTTTCAAATAAATCTTATTTATTATATTTTAATAGCAATTGATTACATTTAAAAAGTAAATAATAACAAAGATAACTTAATCAGAATTTGTAATTTAAATTTTGAAAGAATTAAAAACACAATAATATTTTTAAAAAAAGTAATCTTTTCAAAGAAGAGGTTAACATATTAGCTTGATCACCTGCTGATCCACATTAAGCGGGTTCAAGCCGGCTAAATACCAACTCACATGGAGGCCGACCTTTTTAGCGAGTCGGTCTGGATTCCCACTCCAAATTTGATGTCATAAATCTGACGTCATAAATCGCTAAAACTTAATTTAGTGCACTGATGTGTCCTTTCAGATCATTCAACGTTATCTTCGCGGAAAATGCGTCCAGTGATCTCTACAAATACTCTCGGATAAGCAGAAGACGATTTTTACAATGGAGGTGAATGAGAAGTCCAGAAATAAGTGGTATTCCCATGAATTAGCTCAGCTGTTGGCACAAGCCATAACTTACAAACAAAGCTATTGGACGTTCACCCCAAATAGAAAAAAGAAAGGGAGGGGGGGGGGGGCGTGGATAAGCAAACAAAACTATAGGGGATGTTTAACAAAAGCCTTTTTGCTTCCTTAACTTGCTTGAAGGGATGATCAAGGCTCCGACGCATTCCGTGAAGACCTCAATATTCCATTCCTTTCTTCTGCAAATCTGAACACTAACAGCTAGAGGGGCAATCAAAATATCCACCGACTTTTTTCTAATATGTTCCTCATCTTGTTTATGTTTATAACCAATATACCTATATTAATATATTAACATACAGTATAAAATATATAACAAGCTGTTAATTTATAAATCATAAACAATTCGGACTAATTCCTCGAATTTCATATAATGTATGAGAAAACAAATTTAGATAGAGGAATCAAATACCAAGGAAAACCATGATAAAAGAACCATGAGCAGAGTAATTTCCTTTTTGATATTAGTTGTATAAAATAACTATTTATCTCGTCGGAATCTCAAATAATTTTTCAACAATATGAACACTTCTCCAAGATCCGTATACAAAACCGGTCTTCAGTATAATCCCTCTTCATTCACACAACATTCTCCTCTCCTTCAAGAGTCCCACAAATTACCTTCAAAGTTTTATTCCTCAAGCATGGTCTTGGCTGCATCTACCAGTGTTGGTCTTAATTCACTGGAAGCTCGACCAAGCACCGTATATCCTTCCTTATCCTGTGCATCTACATCTGCTCCATGTCTTATCAGAAGGAAAGCAACCTGGAAAAAACCCCAGAAGGCAGAAGCCCTGGTAATTATGAGATCCGCTGCAATCTACTCTATCTATATAGACTCCAAGCTCGAGATAAATTCATATGCAAATGCCATGACCGATTAATAAATAATCCCCCAAGGTTCACATCCAAGTACAGTCAAACAAGATTCAGACCTCTATTGTCAAGTCAACAGAAAAATTGCAAAAAGCCAAATGCACTAGCATAGTACAGAAATATATGGGAAAGCTGTAAAACAAATTCATCAACCTGACGACTTAACAAGCTTACCTCTTTGTTTTGGCAAATCACAGCATTCATTAATGGGGTTTGACCAGCTCTATCAGCTGCATCAACCTCTGCTCCTTCTTCAATTAAAAATTCACACAGTTCAGAATTTCCAGTGCTCGCAGCACGATGTAATGGGGTGCTTCCAACCTGATTAAAGTTAAATCACATGAACAGTCACTTATATCAGCGGTCCTGAAAAAGGTGCTCTAGTAGATAAAACAAATACTAATAATCCATAAATATCTCAAGGCGGTCATTCTTCATAACCTTATCCTTAACGTTGATCTTGGCACCATGGGAGATGAGAATTTCAGCAATCTTCAGCCAACCTTTGCTGGCAGCATAGTGAAGTGCAGTTCGGCCCCCATTATTTTGCAAATTAACATCAGCTCCTGATGAAAAACATTTGAAATAATTTAAACATTATAAATGAAATATACTGAGAAATCCAGAAGTCTTGCACAGTTTAAGTAGGGGGAGTAAGACACATTTAGGCTTTTAAAAAATAAGATTATAGTTGATATAATGAATAATTTAAAACAAACCCCTCCGATATCACTCTCTAATACAGCAAGAGCAGTGACAGGAACGATTCCAAATTAGCAACTAGTAAAATATGAAGCTTGACAGCAGAAAGATAAAAAATTTATGAAATATGGACCTTTGTTCAACAATGTCTCAACAATTTCCAGATTCCCAATGCTAGCCGCAGAGTGAATCGGAGCCCATCCTTCTTCATCGATACTATTAATCACTTCTGTAGACCCATCAGCAGATGCTAGGATCTTCACCACCTGATTTCATATCAAAAGGGCAAAGATAAGATAAAATTTCCGAAAATGACCGCCCAAAAACAAGGACCTAGGGCTGCTCAGAAGCGAACAGCCACCAGGACTCAATTCCTCAAAGGGAAACCAGACAATTGCCAATACAGTTCAGCTCCGGTAATTCCACTCACAGATTCGAGGAAAAACAAAGAGAGGAATCGGATAATTAAGAAACACGAAGAAAGACAGACCTGAGAGTGACCGGATGAAGTGGCGACGTGAAGAAGGGAACGTTCATCCTCATTTCGAAGAGAGAGGGCCTTGGAGAGATTCTCCGGAGAGAGAAGCTGGAAGGTTGAGACGTCGCCGTTCTCGGCCGCTTTGAAAAGGTCCGCCGCTTTGACTACTTGTTGCTGCTCTGGTTTTGGAGGATCCACTTCCTTGTCCATTTCGTCACAATCAAAGGTACTGTAGTATCTGTTATGCCCGGGGATTTATTGCCTTCCCGAAATCAGGATTCTCGCTTAGGGTAAAATCGGAATTTGGCTTTTTGAAAAAGAAAAAAATTATTAAAATAAAAATAACCAGAGAAATTAAAAATTGTCAAAATTATTTTGGAAATTCTTCATCCAAATTCTCAAATTTTAACTTCTTGACATGAGATATCTACTCATCCTCATCTCTCTTGTTGCATTGATCTCTCTTCAAGGGAGACCATAATAATTGTCATTCATACATTTCCATACGAATGAATTACTCGTTACCAGCCATTGCATGTTCTTAAAAAAAATTTCATTTGCTTTTGTTTTGAAGCTGTTGTCTCGTCCATCGATATTGCCGCCGCCACCACCCAAGTTGCCGTCACGCCCTTCGCCATTATTGATAGTGGGGGAGGAAGTGCGGTCGCGAGGATGGCGCTTGTTTGGATCACCGTTTCAAATAGAAAAAGTTTATAAAAAAACATGAAATTGCAACTTATTTAGGGCCTGTTTGGGTGCTCCAAAACCATAGTTTCAGAAGCACTTTTGCAAAACAAGATAACCTCCTCCACATATTTACTTCGTAATCCGTAAAGCACTTCTGAAACCATGGTTTGGTTTCCATCCAAACACTCTCTTAGTGTGTTTGGATGAAACCAAACCGTGGTTTGGAAAAGTAATTCTGAAGAATAGATTCCGGGAAGAATAGATTCTGGAAAGAATAAATGTTATGAAAAAGTGATTTTGAGAAGTGAGAATGTTTGGATAGTTGTTATCAGAAGCACTTTTTATATATACAAATTACTAAAAAAAAAGACATAAGTTAATATGATAATTACAGAAAAAATAAATTTTATGATATATTTTAATTTGAAGGAATAAAATTGTTAATAATATATTTTTTATTAACATAATTAATAATACATAAGATAATATAATTAATAAATAATTAATATGTATATATATATTTAAAATATAAGATTAAATATGTTTATAAAAAAATATGTTTTAAAAAAAAAAACAAGATACATATCCTATAAGCTCTCACACTCTCCCTTTTTTCTTCAAAAGCAAAAAATTTCTACTTTTTCCAAAACCATGGTTTTGGTCCAAAACCAGTGGATGTTTGGGTGACTTATCACCCAAACCACGGTTTGGGGGTCCCCAAACCATGGTTTGGGGTGTCACCCAAACGGAGCCGAATTCTTAGACTAAGGGGGTATTTGGATATAACCAAACCATGGTTTGGAGAATAGTTTCTGAAGAATAGATTTTGGGAAGAATAGATTTTTTGAAGAATAGATTTTGTGAAAAAGTGATTCTGAGAAGTGAGAGTGTTTGGATAGTTGTTACTAGAAGCACTTTTTACATGTACAAATTATTAAAAAAGGCATAAGTTAATATGATAATTACAGAAAAAATATATTTTATGATATATTTTAATTTGAAGGAATAAAATTGTTAATAATATATTTTTTATTAACATAATTAATAATACATAAGATAATATAATTAATAAATAATTAATATGTATATATATTTATAAGATATAAGATTAAATATATTTATAAAAAAATATGTTTATAAAAAAAACAATAAGATACATATCCTATAGGCTTTCGCACTTTTTTTTTTTTTCCAAAAGCAAAATTTTTTTGCTTTTTCCAAAATCATGGTTTTGGAGCCAAAACCATGGTTTTGACTCAAAACCATAGTTTTGGTTTTTTTAAGGGCGTTTGGATGATTTTTGCCCAAACCATGGTTTGGGGTCCCCAAACCCTGGTTTGGGTTGGAACCCAAACACCCTCTAAATGGTTGTTTGGATGGGCTAAAAACTCAACCAACTTCTGGCCTTCAATCTCAGTTGAACTCAATAGAGGAAAATCTGACTTTTTTCATTTCAAACTGCAGTTTCAAACGGTAATCATTAAAAATATACCAACTCATATTTACCCTCATATTTTCTCTTCTATCTCATTTCCTTCGTTAGTATAATTAGCTTTTATTTAGACTAAATGAATTTTAATTTATATTCATGTTTATCCATTATATATATTTAATTAATTATCTACAATCTGTTTTTAAATTTTTCTTGGTGACATATGTTTTTATTTCATAATCTCACAAATAAACTATTTTTATTTTATCATAATAATTTTAGGTATTTTTTTAAACTATTATCACATTAAAAATATAAAATATCAAACAATATTATTTAATAAAGTCCATGCCTTTTTTAGTTATTTTACAATTGAATTCATTTTTTATTTAATTATCTAAACAACTTTTAACTTTTCCAACTGACTTTTTATAAACACCTATTTAAATATAAATTATATTATACTAACTGATATTTATCTTAATTTCAATTATAAAAATCAGTTAGACTAGAAGTAAGTTTTATCTAACGTCAATTCAAACACACCCGTCGAATCTTGATAGGAAGGGCTTTTGCCCCCCCTCCCTCTTATTGAGGGGATATTATGGTCTTTTACTTATTTGTTTATTTTCTTACAAGAATTTACTCGTTCTTCGAATTGAAACCGTACGCAGACCGCGTTGCGCTTTTCTGGCGAGAGAAGAGGGAAAGACAGCGTCGTGCTTTTGCGCATCGTCTGGGGAGGGGAGAGGGATAGAGTCAGAGAGAGAACCGATCTAGCAATCTCTCCTTTTCTCTTCCTATTTTTGAAGTACATTTTGATTGGTTCGGAAATTCTCTGTAAAATCACGTTAGATTGGGTTTCAGATCCTTCTACTGCTGATATTTAGAGGTACAGATTTATTTGTCCCATTGATTTGCTTTTGGTCCTTAACTTCTGTACTAGATTGGGTTTCAAGTCCTTTCAGATTTATTTGTTCCATTACTGGCTTCTCATTGGCAGAATGATGACTAAGCTAGACTTATTACTAGACTCGTAATATAATTAAAGTGCTCTCGATTTGTTGAAGAGCTGTGAATCAATAAGCAAAGTTGTTTTCCCAGTATAGAATCCATATTAATTTGTGGCCGTTTTTTTTAGCCTGAATCTTTTGATTACGTTTGACATGCCTTGGACATCAAAAGGAAATGTTGTTTAATTCCAAATCTACACTGACTGGTTAGAGAATAACTTGTTACCTTGTTGATCAGGTGGCCTGATTGGAAAGGCTTGGTTATAAACAGCGGAGGACTGATTGTCAAAAACCAGTTTCATGACAGTGTGATCGTGTCGGACAATGATCGACTGATATTTTTGTCGTTGATGCTGTTTCCTTAACAAAATTGCTTGTCCTTTATAATGTGGAATTTTGCTGCAAATCCATTGGCAAATATTAGAGTGAAAGGAAACTCTAGAGAGACAAGCCAAACTTGTTCAGACTGCTCAGATGATGAGGTCTTCTCTAATGCCAGCAAAGATGAAGGGTTGGAATGCCCCATATGCTGGGAATCTTTCAACATAGTTGAGAATGTGCCTTATGTCTTGTGGTGTGGACACACTCTCTGCAAGAATTGCATTCTGGGACTTCAATGGGCTGCTTTGAAACTTCTCACCCAACAAATCAAGATCCCACTTTTCGTTTCTTGCCCATGGTGCCAACTATTATCATTCCGATTGGTTTATAATGGAAATCTGAAGTTTCCTTGTAAGAATTTTTTCCTCCTTTGGATGGTTGAGAGCCGGAATGGTGATAGATATAAGCTTGTTTCTTCCAATGTGAATAGCCAACCAATATGTCCTCCCTTGAACAACTTTCTTCAGGGAAATCATGCTTCTAATTGTAACCTTAGGAGACGCTCAATTAATCTTGGTTCTGGGCAAAGGGAGTCTGATGGCAATGATGGTAGTAGGGATGGAACTAGACGCCTTTTTTCCCTTTATAAATCTCTGGATTTCTTCATTCATATTATGTCCAAATTCCCATTGGTCGCCATTTTTCTTGTGATCGCCTTTTTTGCAGTTCCATTTAGTGCTGTTAGTTTATCTGTTTACTTGTTACTCACCATAGTTTTTGCTGTCCCTTCTTTCCTGGTATTGTACTTTGCATACCCTACTCTGGAGAGGTTGGTCAAAGAAATAATTTCTTGAGATATGGCTTGACTTTATTATTTTTGTTCACTTGGAGGTTTTTGTACTTTTATGTTTCTTCTTCTTTTTCTTGGTAATGTTCTTCATAAATCAACTTGGGGTGAATCTTCTGTGAGCAACTCACTTCTGTTGAACAGGGAAATTGATTGTGATTCCTTTTACCAGCTGAGGACAATTAGTTAATGCATAAGAGAAATTTTAAGTGATGAAAATTTTCATGTGCCAAAATATTGAAGTTATGTAAGTTCAGAAATTTGTTTCATGCCTCATGCTTAAGTGCATTTTAGACTTAAACGGAAGACCAAGGGTCTACATGTATTGGTTTCCACTTTCAACCCTCCTAGAGGTTCCTTTTTCAATGTATAAAAAATTGTCAAATGTCCTTTCTCTTTCTGTGGCTTAAGTTTTTAAGGTTTGGATTGGACATTTATTGTGGCATTACTTATTGTAGCCATGTTATCATACCATTTTTTAAAAGCCTTTAGAATACTTAATGAAAATATATAGGGATGTAAGAAGCTAATAAAATGTCGTGGAAGTGGTATTTTAGGTAGTAAGGCCAATTAACATTCATTTTTATGAATTTTTATTAGCTTTTTGCATCAAAGACGACCAGGGAGAATGTATTTATGTTATTTTAGTCTCAGACACCAATGGCACCTATTGGATAAAACGTTTGCTTATTATCATATTTTTCCTCTGAATATATCCTCTAGCATCTTAGAGTAGTAGTGAAGGTAGGTGAAAAGTAATAGTCTAATGTGCTACTTAACCAAGATCGCCCTGAGTGATCCTTCGTTTATGAACATCTTCAATAATTTTGGACAGGAACTTCTTTCTGTGGAATAGGTGCAGCTTCTCATACAGTTTTTCATAAATTTTGTGGATTTGATATAGTTTAGCGCCATACATGATTTTCTTAAAGAGAGGGAAAAGGAGAGAATTATAGATACAATAATTGAAAGAAACATCTACTGATGGCCCCAAGCGATAGATATAATAGTTATCTCAGAAACAAGAGCATGGTCCCCGAGGCATTCCTGTTGTTCTGATTCTATTTGCCTTTTCTCTTGCTTTAAGCTCTTCCTTCCTTCGTTTTGCATCTGCTTGTTCTCTTGCTCCCCTTGCAATTTGATCAATACGGTCCACGTCATCTCGGAATTTGTCCATCGCTTTCAGCCTTCTTTGCTCCAGCTCACTCTGATATTTCAGAAAGATCATAAGCACACACTATGCAATATCATTGTTAATCATAAAGTTCGAATGAGTAAAACCTCTTGCATGTTCAGCTTGCGTTTTGCTTCCTTCCTCTTCTTGTTTTCCCAGGAATCTATTGTCTCTTTCAACTTCTCATACCTGACAATAATTTTTATTTAGAGTATGAAATATGAAAACCTATGCAATGTAAAGACAATGCAGGAAGCAAGGTATTTGCAGTGTATATTCAAGGAACTTCAATATGACACTACTGTCAAGTACTTTTGTTTGATCTTTTCAAGCTCAGCTTTCTCCCAGGCATCTGCTTCTGTGTCCCTGGTGGGTGGTATTGCTGAAGTTGGCGGCCTAGAAGATTCAGATTGTGCTGGTGCAGCAACTTTTGGTTCTGTGGTGTCAGATTTTGTCTTTAAGAGCTCTCTAAAACTTAATGTCTTCTTTGATGGCACACTGGCCATGGCCTTTTCATCTCCAGCAGGTGATGTTGGCTCCTTCTTCCCTTTTCCATCTGTGAATTTGAATGAATCTGCATTTGATTCAAACTTGTTAATCTAATTTATTTACCTTCCAAAAAATCTCTCTCTCTCTCTCTCTCTCTCTCTCTGTTTTTTTTTTTTCACTGGAAAAAACTTTTTGTCCAAGCACTGTCCTTAAGGTTAGGCAAACAAGGCTGAAGTTGGATAGTCCTAGTGATTGTTGTGTGTTCTTATCTGTTTACCTGAGAATCTCTTGGATCCACCAGTCTTCTGTTGTGGGATTTCTGAAATTTCTTGGTTGCTAGCTGCATATGCGGCGGCTGCTATAGCAGTGACATGTTCCAAGTCTCCAGACTGGTCATCCCGATTCATTTTCCTTATGAACTGTCTCTGAAACCAATTCTGACCCTTCTTCTTTTCTGCGAAAATTCCCCACTAGAATATGTCAACATTAGCCTCACTGATTGTTTGATCAGGCAGAAAGGAAAAGAACATAAGAATATGATAACCCCCCAGTTTTCTCTTTCCTCAAATAGAAAGTTTTCTATATTGGGACATGAGCAAGTGTTAATTAGTAGATAACAATTTCTTCCCTTCTTTTTAGCCCCTTATCTTTGTTAAACAATGTGGAAAAAAATCTTTTTTTTTTTTTGGGTTCAAGCAATGATACTATTATTTTTTACTCATACAAATAATTAAGTTCATAGAATAAAGAAATTTCTTTACCTTGATGAGATTGGGTTTTCTGCATTGATGTCTTCTGGTCTCTGCCGCGACTCAGATCACCTTTTTTCTCTGGTTGTGAACCGTCAACACTTGACCTAACCAACGTGCACAGCCAAAAAGATGATAATTATGATTCTCATATCAGTGTTAGTTCCCCACTAAACCCCAATTTCTGTTGCTGGAAAATCCCTTTATGATAGTAAATCTGATTGAACAAACCATCCTCGGTGACACAGATAAAGCAATCTTATTGGCATACCCGCTTGGTAAGACGATGCAAAATATATACAAGAATTTTTTTTTGTCTGGGATTTGTGCGTGCTAGAAGATCATGCAGTCTAGAATACTTGTAAGGAATAAAGATTCAGAATTACTAACCTTGTTAGATTCATGAATTTCTCCATAACCCTACACCAAGAACTTGTTCTGAAACCCTTTTGTAATCAATGGGTCATGGCTTTGTAGTAATAAGCTAGGTGGCGTTCATGAGAAGAAAGAGCGCAGAAGAAAAGGCGAAACCTTGTTTAGGTATTGCCATAGGCTGAGGTTTGAAAGGAAAGCAAGCAAGGTTAGATATATACTTGGCATGTATTGTCTGGTTTTCAGAATAAAAAGAAAGTGTCTTTTGGATGAAGATTGGTATTTTCTTTCCTTTCTTTGGAGGCATTCTCGTTCAATGTATTATTTGATCTGCTCCACCATATATCAATATTAATCTAAAAAGTAAATTTTATTATTTGAAAGTTTAATATAGCTAACTTTTCAAATTCTTTACCATGCCCAGTAGGTTCGCTTTTTGATGAATGTAAAAAGAACTGTTGAGTTGAGAATAAAATTAGATTCTGTCTTTGGCTTTAGCAATTCAACTGATATAACTGTGCAAAGATTCTATTGCACCCTGAGCCAAATATGGAATAAGATAAAGCCATAAAAATTTGACCTTTTTTTAAGAAAAAGAAGGGGCCGTCTGGATGTCACTGGTATCTATTCTCATTTGTGACTCGTTTCCTCCATAAAGAGTGATGATTAAACAATGTGTTTTGATCTGGCTAAGGAAGAAATGTAACTTGAAAAGGAATTAAAAGCAGAGAATAAGAATATTTTTCGCATCCTATACCAAATTTGAAAAAAAAAAAAAAAAATCCGTTGCATCTTATAGTGGAAGACAGATTTCTTTTTGGCATTGTTGTGAAAGACAGCCATGAAGAAAAGACTCCCACAAAGAGATGAATATGTCCACTGAAACATAACATGTATTGTAATGAACGATTGTCAAACAAAAGCATTGAAATATACAAATCGGCAATAGAATTAAATTTAAATATTATTACCCAAAGAATCAACCAATAAAGAAATCGATTCTACAACATTCAATCAATGCAATGAAGATACAGTATTTTGAAACTAAGCATAAGTGAGTGCGACAAGCATCCATGTTGGTGGGAAAAGAAGGATCCACGAGCACCAGTTCTATAAAAGGAATATTACAAGGCCCAAATCCAATATAATCAGCATGAAGTCGCTTTAAATAGTTTCATCTTTGAGAGTCAAATGGTGGTACTCCCAGGGCTATTCCAAAAATACCTGGTCGAGTCTAGCTTTAAAAAAGCAATCCAAACAAAAAATCGAGCTGGACTGCACCGGGTTGGACGTCAGGTTAGATTGGGTTTCGGACTGACTCAGACCAAATGGTCTGGTCTGACCTGACCCAGTGCTTACATTTATTTTCTTTAATTTATATTTTTTTAACCTAATCCTTCTGCCTCATTTAATTATTTCTGATAGTTTTTATTTTATTTTTAGATTAAGGTTGGTTTATTTTGTATACATGACATGACCGTCTATTATAAGTGAAAAAATGGCTACCAAATTTTTTTTAAAAAAAAATACATGAATGGCAAAGCAACCTGGACCTGTATCAGGCCTAACTAGACTAGCCCTTAGACCAAAATTTTCAGCCTGATTATTTTTCAAAATAAACTTTGAGATGATATCTTACCCAGTCCAGTTTGATCATTGCTCAGCCCTAGCACTCCCTCTTGAGTTTGAAACTTATTGGTTTGAGCACAGATCATGTCTAAATTAACGGTCGCTTTGAAGGTAGTAGAATTCAACATATCTAGTAGAAACTTATTATTTCTATGACTGAATGGAGCTGACCCTTGGAGCAATAAGCGTATGCACACAAATATGGCGAGCATTCATGTTACAGAGAGTACTTTCTTTTTTCTTTCGAGTTGGCAAACACCAAAATGTTTGTAGGTGCCGTTTGAACCCGCAATGTTAGCATCCCAAGGATGCCACCTATGCCCCCTGGGCCAGTGTTCATCGGCTTCTAGGGAGCGCTCGCCGCAATAGGGTTCTATTCAATAAGACATTGATCACGTCCAATAACTTGCTTTCAAGACACATACAAGTAACCAATAAAAGCTAGGAGCACAACAAACTAGTCTCTCATGACACAGTGAACCAAAATTTGAACTCCTGTTAAAAGATGTACTTATGTACTTATATTTAATGCTTGACAGTACTTCAAATAGGATTATCTCTATTAGGAGAATACATGAGCCTAGCAAAATAAAAAAATAAAAACACACACACACATGTACACACACAGTATACAAAGTAGCTCAAACCAAAAGTCACATCCATAATAATTTGGGTTAGGAATGGATGACGAAGTGTTAAGCAAATAATAGTTTCCTCTAATAAGTGTTTGTCTGCAATAAACCTTGTCATTAAATGCGTCATGCCCAATTGATCCAAATACCTCGTGTTGATTAGGAAATACATTGAGTAAAGTTCATAAAATAAACATTTTTACCTCAAATTCACAAAATAAGGAGAGCAAGGAATTGAAATTAAACGAGAGAATAATTGAAGGATGACCGAAGGCCATGCACAAAAATATAAGACCTCCACTATTAAATAAGAATATCAACATACTAAAAGTCATAATATCTTTAATAAGTTAAATTATCTAGTTTTCTTCATATAAATGAATATCACTATCAAATTAATAGTTATAAATTTAAGTTGCAAATCAAGTAAAATAAGTATCAAATTATTGGAGGTCACAAAAATAAAATTTTCCCTCTTCCTTCATAAATAGACAATATCACTTGCAAATTAGTAGTGAGAAAATTGTAAATGAGAGAACATGACTATTAAACCATGATAAGTCATGGTATCTTTAACAAGTGAAAATTTTCATTTTCTTTTATAGACAGACAAATCTCAGTTACAATAATTAATAAAGAAGAGCATCAAACCATTGAAATAGCCTTCAGTTCTGATTTTGGTATTCTCAAACTTTTATCGCCTTTTTAAGGTGAAAATAAAAGGAAGAGTTGATTTTTTTTCCTTCTTTAATGATTCGACAGACACCAGAACCTCAACCAAAAATGGAATTAAAAAAGGCATAAAAATAAAAGGCATAAAAATGGTTTTTTAAAAGAAATGAAAAGAAAGTTGTCTGGACGTCTGGTGCATCTATTCTCAATGTAGAATTTATTTATTTTGTCCAAAACAACTACAAAACAATGTGCTTCTATCTCACCAAAGAAAAAATAGGCACAGGAGTAAAACTGGAGACTGTACAGAGCGCATCTGGTATCCTACACCAATATTCATTTATTTATCTTTAGGAAAAAAATTAAAGGAAATTGATGGAGACATTTCTCATAGAATACAAGCTGGCTGGTTAAAGTGGAGGAAAGCTACAGGAGTTATTTGTGATAAGAAGGTACCTGAGAAACTTAAAAGAAAATTTTATCGGACTGCTATAAGACCAGCTATGATGTATGGTAGTGAATGTTGGGCAATAAAGGGAAAACAAGAGCACAAAGTCGGAGTAGCAGAAATGAGGATGTTGAGATGGATGTGTGGTCATACAAGAAAAGATAGGATTCGAAATGAAAAGATCAGGACAAGAGTTGGTGTGGCACCTATCCAAGAGAAAATGGTTGAAAATCGCTTAAGATGGTTTGGACATGTGCAGAGAAGGCTTTTGGAGGCCCCGGTGAGAAGGGTTGATCAAACAAGATGGAGTCCCATAAAAAGAGGCAAGGGAAGACCGAGAAGAACGTTAAATGAGGTCATTGAAAAAGACCTCCTAGTCAATAACATATCTAAGGATTGGGTTGTTGACAGAGTACGATGGCGTCGTGTGATTCATGTAGCCGACCCCACCTAGTGGGATAAGGCTTGTTGTTGTTGTTGTAGGAAAAAAAATCATTGCATCTTATAATGAAAAACATGCTTGTACAAATAGGCCCCCCACAAACAGATGGGCATATCCATTAAACGTCACAAATATAGTAATAACTAGTCACGAAACATAACAAATATATTGACAACATAAATTGCGGATGGAAAATTATAATCAATGGAAAGAACCAACAATCGATTCTAAGACAATCAATTCAATACACATACACAATATTTGACCATTGTGAAGCTAAGAAATCTAAAAAAACACATGATGAGCGAGAACATAAGAATAGGATCACTGCTAAACACAGGCAGGTGCATTAAGGTTGTTGAGACGAGCAAAGACAATGGAATCAGCAGCAACATTAATTGAAGAAGAAGGATCCACAAGCATTGGCTCCATGGAAGGAATATCTTGAGACTCAGTCAAACTCAAAACTTTCCCATTCAGCAACACAATGTCGCTTTGAATATTCCCATCCTTGGGAGTCAAATGGTACTCCTCTCTCATATTTGAGTCTGAAACTTGTTGATTTGGGTACAAATTCATGTCCATATTAACACTAACTTTAAAGGAAGTAGAATTTGACATGTTTATCAATAGCAAGCTCACAGCAGCCTAGAAAAATACAAGAAGGTGTGAATTTTATCAGTGGAATTTGGCAATAGAGAAAAATGTTTTATTATTTTTGGAAATGAATGCACAGAGCTTACCTTATTCTTAGAACAATGAGCATATGCACGCAAGTATGGAGAGCCCTCATTATTAACAGAGAGTACTTTGGTTCCCATAAGCCGATGCCATAACAAGGCTCTATTAAACAAAAGATATTATTAATAACATACCATGGCTTTCTTTTAAGATGCACACGTGTTGGAATCAAAAGCCTTACCCATAATAATCTGGGTTAGGGATGAATGATGTAGTGTTGAGTAGACCATAATTTCCCCCAATTAGTGTTTGTCTACAATAAACCTTGTGGTTAAAGGTTGATGTCATTCCGAGTTGATCCAAATACCTGTTTGTCAAAAAACACATCAAGAGAAGTTCATAAAAAGGGAATTTTCAAGAAATATGAAAAAAGGAGAACTAGAAAGGTGCTGATATTAAACAAGAGAATAATTGGAGAATGACCAGAAGCCATTAGCAAAGGTATGTGACACATCTTTGCCTCCACTATTATAAGTTCCTCCAGATTCCCCAACCCATGCTTGGGCCCATGGTGCATACTCTTTCACACTTGTT